GCATGGTCCACTCTCATAGCCTGTTTTCCCGAAAGCATAAAGGGAAACAAGAGAAAGCTTTGTTCTCGGGGGGTATCTTTGATCTTGGCCGCTGGACATCTACTGCTCCGCCAGCCCCTTCGCCTTCGCCTCCTCCGCCTCCCTCTTTCTCGCAAGGTAACGCTCCCTTGCGCTTGAAATCTCCCCGTCCGTCTTCCTCGTCTTCGTGGCCCTCTCCACCTTTTCCTTCTCCTTCTCCTCTTCCTCCCTTGACCTCTTGAGCGCCGCCTCCAACTGCGCCTCCATCATCCGCGTCTGCCGCTCGCGCATCGCGCCCTTGCCCCCGGAGCCGACGAAACCCGACCCGCTGCCGCGATCCGGTCTGGCTTCCCGCGGTCGCGCCGCCTCCTGTCTGACCTGTGCCTCCTTCTTCGCGCCGACGTTGAGGCCGCCCCTGAGCAGCTGCCGCTTGTCCACGACCTGCCCCTCCTCATTGACGGCAACTGAGCCGCCCTTCTCGTTGATCTCACGCGCCATGTCGGCCTCGGTCTTCTCCTTGGGCGCATCATCCTCCTCCTTCTCGGTCGCGGCAGGACCGGCCTTGGCCTTCTCCTCTGCAGCCTTGAGGACCTCGGCATGCCTCTCCTCGCCCTTGTTCAGCATGTTCTTGTAGAACGCGCTCATGCCTCCCGTCTTGTTCTTCTTCGCCTCCTCCTCCTCTCGCCTCTTCTCCTCCTCCTCAATCCGCCTGTTCTCCTCCTGCTGCTTCTTATACGCCTCCGTGACAAACTTCTCCTTGTCGGCGTACTCCTCGCCCTCCGCCTCGCGCTCCCTCGCAATCTTCTTCTCCTCCGCAATCAGCGCATCCCGCTTGCGCACCGACGCCGCCGCCAGCAGGCTGCTCATGTACTTGGGCTTCCTCTCCACGTCCTCCTTCGTCTCCTTTTTCGCCGGTTTGAACGACTCGTACACCCCGTCGTAGTCGTACACGCTGGGGTCCAGCTCCTCCGCCTTCTCGGCGTGTTTGCGGGACGCGAGGCTGCTCGAGAGGTCGCCAAACATTGCGCTTTCCTGTTTCTTTGCTTTCCCTGCCGGCGGGTGTGCCGGCGGCAAGGGATTCTTCGTCTTGGATTTTCTGCCGTTTTCTGATCTCGAGGTCGAGGATGGAAGGTCGAAGCCGCCTAGCTCGTCGAGCGTCTCGACTTTGTTCGGTTTGTTTGTCGCATCGTCGTCTGAGTCGTCGCCGCCGCCGCCGAATGCTGTTTTCCGCTTTGGCGGAGCCGCCTTGGACGCGCCAGGCTTTTTGGAGAGGGTCAGTCCGAATGATAGTCCTGGTTTGCTCATTTTGACCGTTCGTTGTTGAGGACGCAAGTTGAGAATCAAAGTTACCTTACGGAAGCGAGCCTGAGGTAAGGCAATTCCCATTGCGCCGTGCACGGTCCATTCGCGACCCACTCCTGCAGCCGGCCGTTCACCCCGGCACCGAGCTGCATCCGGAGCGGACCCGGTTGGTGATGCCGATTTACATGATCTGAAGCCTATGAGAATAGGTGTGTGTTCACCGCTAGACCTTACAGATGGGCATTGGCTACTGTTTGTGTAGTTCGTTGCAAGAGTCTATGAAAAGTAAATCTATCTCGTACACGTACGGCGGTCTCGCCGCTATTACAACATGTCTATACAGGGAAGTGCGCGAGACTGGTCAAATTTCCGTCTCATCCTCTGGCGCGGGAACTCAAGCCGAAACTCCTAGCAATATGTTCTCCCCAGCTCTTGGTAGAGACTCGAATTCGACGAATGATGATCCAAAAGAACAAAAGGAAAAGGATGGCTCCAGGCAACCCCTAGAGACAATTACAGTCTTACGCGGCCTTCTCCGCCAAACCATCGGCGAATGTCTGACTCGACACCACCACCGTTGCTGCTGCTGCCTGGTTCGTCGTCATCGCCACCCATCCATTTGGGCTTCTTGATGTCCTGGAACCATTGCGGGGCCTCGAACGTGTCAATCGTGTTCTTCATGCGGTGACCGAGAGACTCAAAAAAGTTTTCGTCTTCGGGCTCCTCGTCCCGGTACGGTCTTGTGCGAGACGCTTGTCCAGGCTGGCGATCATGCGTGGCTCGAACAGGCGACCTCGCCGGAGACGCTGCCGCGCCAGTGCGTGCCCCTGGGATGGTCAAAACAGGTGCGGACCTTCCGCCAACTTCAAGCCGTGCAAAAGCTTCCTCTCGTCGTCGCAAGGCAGAGTTACCGCCTAATTCACGCTCGATCAAGTCTCTTCCCTCTCTCCAGGACCCGGTTCCAAATACCCTGCCGTCGCCCTCATCATCATCCATGAAGTCCCCGCCGAACCCGAACATGCGCTTAATCTTGCCATACAGGCCGAAAAGAGTGGCAGCGACGGGGACGAGAACGAAGATGGGGAACAGGTAGTCGGCCCAGCGACCCATTGGGGTGAAGTCGATGAGTTGACCGAGGAACCCGTAAAACCGTGTTTTTGAGTAAATGGATTCAGACAAGAATGTCATGAAATTGTAGGATAGAGGGACGCTCAGCTTGGCGACCTGGCCAGCGTACCAGAAAGCCGATTCGTAAGCCGTATTGCGTCGGACGAGAGCACGTCCTCGCCACGTCTTCACCTCGGTCATGGTGGTAAAGGTAGCTGCGCACATGTACAGAAGCCAGAGCACCGAAATAACTTGACCGGCGAAACCGACCTGGCCCTTTTCGCCGACCCAATGATGAACAACTGTAAGGCGGATGACGGACAGCTGAGGGAATGCAGCCTTAATCACCTCAGACCAAACAATCAATGCCGAGGCCACCGCTAGAAATGCTCCGAGAAAGATGGCGCCGTACGGTTCGCAATGATAGTAGTACAGGTATCGGGTGTATGGTGTATGTACGGTGAAGCGGTCCCAGAATCCCGCGTGGGGTGACGGCGCACCGAACTCGAGCTTCTTGGAGGCTGCAGAGTCGAGAATAGCTTGTGTCTCTGCGGCTTCCTTCAAAAGATCGTTCCATTCGTTCACGTAGCGGGACCGCGCATGTCGAGCCCGCATCAGTTTCCTAGATAGATCCGCCATGAACTTTTCCGTAATGACAGTCGGCAGAGAACGGCTTTCGACAGCCACGCCCATTGTTGACCTGGGATGCGACTCTGGCAGGTTGGCGCTCTCGACGAGCTCATCGATCCATTCGCTGAACTTGACGGCGCTTCCTGTCTTTCTGCGGCCCAGCTCTGACACCTGCAACTCGACGTCCTCCAGGTTCAATAGGGAGTCCTCCATCTTCTCAAACAACTTCGGGGCCCGAATCTGTAATCTCCGCAGTCGCCCACTGATAGACGAGTACCGAAAAAGTCGTCGGGGTATTGAAACAAGGCCGTGGCCCATTAGGTATATCGCAAAAACCAAGCCGTAAAAGTATGCAAGCGCCATGAAAGAGGTCTTGAGTGTGGTAATGCTAGGTTGGTATCTGATGAAGAGGTACGCAAGGCCGACACCAGCCGTGCCGAGAACCATGACGTGGTACTGTGCATTCTGTCGGAGTGAATACTTGAGGCTGTCTTGCGGTTCGCGGTATCCAGAGTCGGAGTATTCGCCCAGGATGGGAAGAATAAACCTATCGCAAAAAGCGTCAGTGCATGGCACAAACTCGACAAAGGGGTGAAACTCCATACCATGTCAACGCGAACGTCAGCCAGTAAGTGATCCTCCATGAAACCAACAGCATGCGCTGGGGAAGCCAGACGCCACGGGTTGCCTCATCGTCGGTTCTCGCGCTCGAAGCCAGGTCGATCGGGACTAACAAGACCATGCAAGCGGGCAGCCATAATGCGAAAAAGATGGGCACAAGATAGAATGCTGGTGTGGTTCGTAGAGGCAGGTAGTGGCGCAAAATGAAGAGGACGATGACTGAGATGGAAAGCAGCGCAAGAAGCGCAAAGATTTCGGAGGGCACCGGCGACGATGCGCTCACGATGTGTAACATGTTGTCGGCAATGTCAGGGGCGTGTCCATGGGTCGCGGTGCGGTGCGGTGCTCGATTCGACCTGGAGATGCTGTGATGCTCTTTAATTCGTGATCATTGGGAGCTGGCGGTGAAAAAGTCGGCGTTGGGGAGATTTGGCGGACGGACGAAAAGTTCGCAACGCGCAATGGAAGAAGGAGAGTGGGAGGTGTGCCGTAGAAAAGTGAGGTACACCTTTGCAGGCTACCGGATACCAAGGAGCGCCCTCAGCAAAGTGTTTTGGCAGGGACAACCACACAACTGCTGCGTGAACAGGGTCATGTGCACGGGCCCGGAGTGTTGGAAGGTCCGCAAGCAAACAGCAAGGTGCCTTATCTCGAGGGCGGTTTACGTCATCTGCACGGTACTCTCTGGAATCCACCAGGCAATGCACGCTCCATTTTAATTGATGAAGACTTGCGAGGCCCAATTTTGGCTCCCGACGGGTCCGCTTTTTGCCTCTTGGAGTTGGACCGCCCGTTCTGGTCCAGTCCAGATCAAGTTCCCATCCCCTGTTGGTTGAACTCGCACACGAGGTTGATTGATTTCCAAAGTCTCTCTCCCATTCCCCGGCCTTTCCTGGATCCAGTATTGGCTTGGCCTAGACTTGAGCCATGCTGCAACCGTTGCGTCGGGCCCTTGACAACATCGCATTTGCATCATGCATCTGGTGGCAATCAGCCCTGTTTTATGCACAGCGTTTGGTTGTCTACACTTAAGTCCTTGGCCGCATTATCAGATGCAGTGTTCCAACCCAATCTCATGTTGGTTCCTTGGAATTGGTTTTCAAGACTTCCTGGCCTGCAATACGAATTGGTAGCAAAGAGACATGCACGTTGGCCATGTTGTATCCAAAAGAAGGATGGATTAATATTAAGAAATAGTAAAAGGAGCGGCCTGTATCGCTTGATGCCAACTGTCTATCCCACAGATATAACTGCCAAAGTAACTCCATCTATAAATCCCATTTTCATGCTAATAAACTCATCATGAAGCAATATCAACGGTTTTAGAAAGTGAACTTCATCAGCGCTGGGTTGAGGAGGACCGGCAAAGCGAAGTGCGAAAAGATGGTGACGCACAACGGGTAAATGGTCGCAAAGGTTTTGATCTGCCACTCCTGTGGGAAAACGTAGTAGCCGCATATGATCAGTGCCGTGGCGCCAAAGCAGAACACGAAGGTACCCACAAAACTCTTGATGATTTTCGGAATCTCCTCGAGAAAGTTGCAGTTCTCCACCTCCTTCGATGTCGCACCCCATTGGATGTCGATCTCGAAGAAATGACAAAGCAGTGCCTTGGAGACGTGGAGAGAGATACCGCCAAGGAAGATCGTGAAAATGGGCATCCACTTGAAGTTTTCCCACACTAAAGATATGATTAGTATGCGAGAGGAGATACGGAGAGAAGCGGAAGAACTTACAAGCTGATAGAAGAGATCTCTCGCCTAGTCTGTAGCGAAGTATAGCCAGGGAGAGATTGCCAACAAGGGGGAAAACGACAATGATCGATACGTAGGTAGCGAATGAATCAAGATAGTACTTGTCATAGTGTCCCCAATACCATCCCGTTACAAAATAGTTCAGAACGGTCAGAGGCCATGAGGCTCCGATGGCGTAGTAAGTGCCGATGTAAGCCAGAATAGTCATCTTCCGGGGGAAAGCAATGTTGGAGAAGATGAACTTCTTGAAGAGGGGAGTGAAGGGGCCGCGGATGATCCAGAATCGCAGAGGATGAAATAGCAGTTCGTTGCAGCCGTACGCATACTTTTCCCAACGGGCCAACTCGTCGTAGACAGTCAGGGACACACCCTCCTTAAAACCATCCCCAGTATAGGCACCGTACCGGATAGAGTATCCGGCTGTCTGGAGACGCAATGCCATGTCAAAATCCTCAGACACGTGCGATTCGGACCAGAACTTCTCGTATCCATCTTCCTCGTCGAAGTACGAGGCGGCATCCTGGAGAGCAGACCAGCGCAGGACAGCGTTGTGGCCAACGAAAGGCGAGATGTCACCATTGGCGACGGCGAATGTGATCGAGGTGTAAATCATTTCCGTGAACCAGGTGACAGCCTGCTCGAAGAAGGAGTCCGAAACGTTCATGACTCCGGAGGTGTACTGGATGATGGCGACCTCGGGGGACGCGTCCATCTCGCTGACGGCGTCAAGCAGGCAGTCTCGTGGGACACGCGTATCGGAGTCGATAAGCAGAATGTAGTCACCGATTCGAATATTGCCATCGGCCCATGTGCGACCCTCAGACTCCTCGAGGACTTGGGTGAGAGCCTCGGCGTAGACTTGGTCCTCACTCTCTTGGCCCCACTTGTTTCCGCGCTCAATCTCCATGAGTTTCTCCTCCACTTTGATGCTTGTCATGAGCGCGTAGTTCATGTTGGAGGCCTTCTTGAAACGACCCTTGCGGAGGAAAGGAGCCTCGCCGGGGTTCTCAGGGTTGGGGTTGTGACCAGGACGGGAGACCCATCCCATATTGTGCTCCTCATAGAAATCTCTGCGAGCCTGAGCCTCCTCTTCGTCGATGAGCTGCATACCGTCATCGTTGACCAAAATGTTTGCGGTGCCACCCTGCATCTCGTACGTCGAGATAGCAGCCTTGAGAGAAATGACCGTAGGCTTGATAACGGCGTTAAGGCCCTCCTTGTAAACAGGCATCTGGATTGTGACATGGGGTAGCTCGCCTGAGTGAGGACTCATTCGGCGAGGGGGTTTGCCGGAGAAGTTCTTGGAGTTCTGGTTGACACCAGAGATAGGGCCAAATACCTGGAAGACGTTTCCAGATATTGACATGAAGAAGAACAGGGAGATGAAGAGCGTGACTGGTCCGACAGCAAGCAGAGCCAAGCGAGTATAGCTGTTATCGACCGTAATCTGCAAGGCGAGAGCTCGGTAACCAAGACCCAAGCAAGTAATCGAGAGAGCCAGTGCAAGAGCGACTACCATAGAGCTTGTAATCCTGGAAGGCCGAACCTCGGCTTTGAGTGCCTCCTCAAGAGCGGCGGGTGATAATTCTTGAATGTTGATGTCGACTGCTTTCTCGTTCTTTGGCTCATCTTCTTCCTCGCCGTCATCGGTCTTCCAAATCATGGAAATGATCATCTTCTCGATACTCTCTGGTCTAGAGAAGATCCTGTTGGCATCATCGTCCCATACAACCAGCAAAGGTGGGTCGAGGACGAAAGCCGCATACTGATGCTTTTGGCATCTGGGCAAGTCGGTCATCCTCGGAAGGACCTGCAGTTGCAACCCTCCCTCCAGGGCTACGGAGTCCTTAGGCTCCCTGCTGTTGAGAAGACCTTGGATGATGGACTGGATAACCGGAGTGTTCACTGTCATGGCACACTAGTCTAGGTCAGTTCTGACAATGTGATTGTGGTTCATTTTCCAACTTACGCTGACGTTGAGCTGGCCGACCATATCAAAGAATCCATACGGAACAGTCTGCATCTGAGGAGGGGCGCAGACGAAGTCATTGCGGCCCTTCTTGAGAACAATACCCTCACCCAAATTCCATGCCGATGCATAACCCTTTCTCAGCTGTTCCTGGTACATGCCGTGCACCGTTACGTCAGCTCTGAGATCGAGAATGCTACTCGCATGCTTGTCCCTCATGCCAGCAGTGAGAGCCAAGCTCACGGTGGACTGCCTGGCGGATGTCCTGGTGCTCTGGCTTCGGTACGGCCCCGGCTTCTCGGATGACTGCGTCGCGTTCGACGGCATAGGGAGGGTGTTACCCGAAGACTGTTGTCGGTGCTGTGGTGTTGACGGAGTTGGCTTCGATTGTCTTGTGGATTTGTTGGACTCGGAGCCTGCCGCCCGGGCAGGCGTGAGGTACGACTTGAAAGCATGCATCTCGTGATAGTCTCTGAAACGAACGAACCAAAGCTGGTCAAACCACTTTCAGCGTCTGGATAAAGAAAGAGTGACGCAGACACCGTAAGTGAGTGGATGGTGGAGAGGGAAACTCAGTCGCCCAGGGGACGGGAAGGAGGAGAGAGATATTTGAGAAGACCTCAATGCATAGTCCTCTCGAGTGGGCAAGGTCAGCAAGTAAGTCCAGGACAAAGGTTAGCCTAAGCCGCATGCACGGGGGCACCGGTAGCTGAGCAATATTGCATGGCCTGGCCGGCACCGCCATCGCGACAATCACAGCAACCATGGGGCGGCGGCAACGAGAGGCCATGCTCGAGTTAGGCCTGGAGGTGAACAAACGACGGCTGGATTCGAAAGCCACGGTGTGAAGGTGGGTTCCACCGGTCTAAGTCACCCGCGCGAGACGGACTATCAGGTTAGCTGAGAATTGATGACAAGCGGCATCGAATGGCTCCGTACATGAGAAGCTGGCGCCACCCGTGCGCTGCATGGAAGACGGGTAAGCAAGCACAAAGACCGTAGGGACATCCGCCCATCGTGAGGTAGTAGCGTGGCTCGAGGCGACAAAGCAGGCCGAGTCCTTATCGCGTAACTGCCTACCCAAGCGCCGCCGAGCCAAGCCGTTAGACTGAGAAGAGACATTGCACCCCTGTGAAGCCAAACACACTCTAGTCTATCGGCATCCCCTGCCCAGGCTCAGCACGGCATGCAGCCGTCATGAAATGGCCAAGGCGGGATGGCCAACAATATCCACCGGGATGGCGGGAGGACGTGGGATGCAGATAGATAGCCCATTTTCTGCCAGTACGCGATATCGGGAAAGAAGCAGACCGACCGTATTGGCGGAAATGCCCGATTGCCTCGCCGAGATCTCCCTGGAAGGAACCATCTCTCCTTCGAGAGTCCGTTTCGTTAATCCATGCTGCTCAGAAGGGGGAACAGAGTAATCAGGAACAGGACCGTGGTACCTGGTGCATCTAGCTCAGGAACGTCGAAGGCCGCCTTGACTTGGCGCCCTCCTAGTTGACGAAGAAGCTACGAAGGCTTCAGGAAGTGCTTTGAAGCTGGGACGAGAAAACAAAGCCAGAGACTACTAGTAGTTGTCTGTAGCCTAGAGAGGAAAGGTGCCTTTTGTCTCCTTTCCGCTTCGAGAAAAGGCTCGCCGCCAGTTCAGCCTCCGAGGGGTCTTTGACCACTGAGACACCACGCTTGTTTATATGGCTTGCGCCGGTCGGCTTAGATGCCAGCGCTAAAGTAGCGCCGTCCCTGAGTGCAAGGCAGTTGTTTTTAGACAACAAGTCCATTTCAACCCAGACCCCTGGGGGAAACAACAAGACGTGCCAGGCCATTCCGAGGTCTCGGTAACCTTATCTAGTACACTTGTACGAAGAATAGAACCAACAAGGGAGTCTCACACCCGCCTGAGTCGAAGAGTCTGTGACCTGGGCTTCCGTCGCCACGTTTAGTGGGATGTCCTCGGTGCCTCGTACGCGTAACAAAGATGCTGAACCTGGCGTCATGTTTCCATCCTCATGAAGAAACTGAGTTTGAATCGTTCTCAACGGTGGGTTCTAAATTGGAGGTTGTCAAGAGTATTGAATTCGCGAGTTGTGAGTTGGCACTCGCCACCGTGAGTGAATAAAGGAAATCTCCAGGCGCTCGCTTGCCGCGAGAAATCGGTACTTTAACAGTTCCAAGTGATTCAGTCAAGGCGACCTCTGAGATAATCGAGGACGAGGATTTGTTAGTGCACGAGTAGGACTGGGGTGTGTGTCTCCAAATGCTCGCTTTTGAAAGCGAAGGTATGGTTCTGATGGAGTGAGAGATAATGAGACGGGCCAGAAGAGTAGGAAAGTCGGTGGGTGTGCTGTGGCTTGCTGAAGCTGCGACATCTAGCTTAGCTCACCGCGTGTCAGGAGATTGTGCGTGTCCATGCAGGCATAACAAACATTAGGAAACCGTATTGATGCAAGCCTGCGAAGGTGGTCTCGTATGTATTCATGCGGGAGACGTGGGGGAGACGGCAGGACGGCAAGAGCTGGCAGGCGTGGCAGGCAAAGACGGCAAGCTAGATGGGAAAATGCATGAAAAGGCCGATAGGAACAAAAGAAAGAAAAAGCAGTGACGGAGGACGGTCGTGTAGATCCCAAGCCAGCCGGTGATTCCGCTTCCGGCGAAGTCCCTTTTGCTGTGTGTCTTCCAGGTGGTTCATGCTTTATGCAATAGCACAAGATGGCTTATTGCCTATCATGGCCACGGAATGCTGCCCATTGGTCGGGAACGCGAGAGGTGCAGGTACCCGCTCTATATATGCATCTATGCCGTCTTCAGCTCGCCGGCACTACGCCAGCCTACCATTCCCTCTTTGGCCGCGACAAATCTCCTCGCTCAAATCTTCCGCCCCCCCCTGGTCTATGCATGCATGCACCCATCTTTGCTGCCCAGCCGTCGTCCGCGAATCCGATGCCCTGTCGTCCCGTTTATATCAACTGGTGTGCTGCACGACCAGGAATATTGGACGAAGTTCCGGCCGCATCACCAATCCGTCCCGATGGTGGCGCCTTTTCGGCCATTTGATTGCCTCTGCCGTGTCGCATCCCGCCGACGTATCATCGTCTCCTTTTTCGACCAGGCTCGCTGCAGTTCCTGCTAGCTGAATGATGAAAGTGGAAACACTCGACTCCCAACAAAGAATGGTCCTGATGAGGTGGCTCATCCGCCGATCAAAGAATCAACAAATGTCGGCTCTGCCACCAGAAAAAGTCAAACACTTCATTCCTGCTTCGACCAGGCCCGGTGCGGAGGCCTTGTTGCCGTCCGTCGGCCCGCCTATCGCCCAAGGCCATACAGTCACCCTAACGTCTTTTCGAGCTTTGTTTTCGACCGTGAGGCCGAGCGCCGAGAGGATCTGCGTCTCTTGGACGTGGCATTTCGTCAACATAACGGCCCGTTCATCCCGCATCTGTGAGATGCATCGAGACGCATGAGATTTGTGTTGCCGCATGTTGTCATCGAATAGGTGGCAAGTCGCCAAAATGTCATGGGGTACCGGTTAATTTGAGCTATCAAAGAAGCGACAGACGGTTTGTGCAGATCCCGTGCTACACTATTGCCATCACGCATTTACACCTCCTGGTTTGCCATGTTGAACTAACCGATTCTGACTTTTGCCCAGCTTTGCTAGGTCGATGAGCAGAGTCTTCGACAGTGGACACACACCACGCCAACGATAACCCAGGGCAAATGTTCAAGGGTGGAAGCCCCGAATGGCCCATTGCCGACCCCCACTTAGAACTCGCAGCTGAATCCAGAGTCGCATTGTAGAGAATGTCGTCCTCTTTTGGTTTCAAACACCTTTGAGCACCTAATCGCACCACGAACGATTTAACGGCACCAATATCTACCTCAACGCAGAAATTGGGTCATCACCTTATTTTCGGACCAGATTGACGAACACACGCCGCGGGTGCATATTCGTGCCATTTAATTTCCCCGAGTCGGAAAACTTGCCGCGACAAGCCACAGATCGATATTGTGGACGGCTTCGATCCAACTTTGCTATCGACTTGTGCAACCAAATACGAGTTCTGCTGTACTTCCGGCCCTCTTCGTCGGCCCCGTCAAGCTGCAGGCTGCAGTCGTCTCCTCCCGCCGCCGGTAGGTCTGGACCGACACCATCAAACCGCTAGACAACGAACCACGACTAGCTCTTATCATGTTTCTTCCCGCGTGGCCTCGATCCTGGCTATTTTAGGAAACCACATGCCTCGAAGCAGACATCATCGCGAATTAGACACGTCAGAAGGCCCCCTTTTTCTGACAGTTCTCCTCGCTGTCAACTGGGGCGGCTTGCTGTCTCATCGCTCAACACACAAAAGATATCTTGCTTTTTGCACCAGCCAGGCAAGATTTACGGCGGCCAAAAGCCAACACATGGATTAGTGGTGCGCTCCAGGGGCATGGAATCCCAATTTGCCCCTGAACAGCCTCTTTTTGATGCTAAGGGTTCAGCTGTCGCCTCCATTGGGAAAATCGTGCTTGGGCTCGGACCCTGCCGCGAGCCACGAACACGCTACCCTGACTTTCCAACTCAGCCCTCATTTAACCTCCAAGATGGAATCTGACAGGATTTCAACTTCACAAGCAAGGAGCTGGTCCCAGGGCCATGGGACTTACCGCGCGCGGAGCTGGTCCACACTCCCGGAAAATTCTACCCTAGCCATGTGAGGCTATCCTCACAATTGAATGGCTAGTGCCGGTCTGATAGAAGGTCTAGTATATACCAGGGTCCAATATCAAAGTCTGCTGTCACTGGGCTGGCAGCTTGTTGCTTCCAAGGGAAGCCGCAGTTCTCGTTATCGTCATATCTCACTGTGTCGTCCTCAAACAAGTGGGTGGGGAAACTGCACTACCAGTCATACTCAGCCAACCACCGTAGTTTCGTGGTGCTGTTGATGGATCCAAAGGAAGGATAAAGCAAGATAACTGCACCTGGATCCCGTGGTTCTCATCTAGGACATTTGCCAAAGGCTGGCATGCACTTAAGCTGATCAGCCTTAGCCGGTACGCCGATTCATCACGCAAGATAACGCAGATGATTTCCCAGCCCTGCCTCGCCGATAGTTAGGATCTTCGTTACCCACGTTGCCTTGGGTCATTCGCGTTCCCTCGTATGGAGCAATACCTGGGGACGCTATAAGGGTTGCTCTTTGTTGGCGCTAGATCAAGATTTCTGGCTCCTTTCAAGCCATGTTGCTTCCACTGCAGGTTCGCTCTCGGTGCTTCAGGTCTTTCCTTCGTCATGCCTTGTCAAGTAGACAATCTTCTCTTAGTTGGCATGAAAGTATCTCGTTGACAGCTTCGCCAATCGCTGAATGATATTACGCATGATCACAATCATAACCAGTCACGAGCCGCTTGTAGCGTCGTCATATCACGGTCCTTGAGCCAATCTTGGTTTGAACGTGTTTATGAAAATA